CCCTGTGGGAGCATTTGCTCTCACAGTTATTTCTCCCCATCCCTCACCATGCACCTCCACCCTCTTCATTTCAATTCCATACATTTAGGGTTGTTTGGGCTCGGGTGTGCTGCAACAATTTTACATCTTTGTTGACCATAGCCACCTGGGACTCAATTTTATTGTACACCTTAGACATTCATTCATAACATCCTCATGACATTCATATATAGGAACTTCAGGTGGGTACATGGCTATGGGTGGTGGGATGACCTTACTCTCACCCCCTGTGCCTGTGCTCACTTACAACGGTTGCATTTAGACACTAGGGTTTGGAAAGAGTTGGGGTGGAGGGGAAACTGGCACCATGCCAGCCTTTGCTCCTTCTTCTTTCCTTTTTAATGGCACTATACAACAACACACATCAACAGCACATCTAGGGGCGGGGGTGTATGTGTCGGGGTCTTATTTATTTTTTTATTTTTTTATTTTATTTTATTTTTTTCCTCTTCCTACCCACCTAGTTCCCTGACTGCCATTCCGGGGGTGGGGTCCGGGAGAAGGGCAGGCTGTCGGGTGTTGACCAGGACTATGTGGGGGTTCAGGGTCTAGGGGGTTGCCGTGGGCGGTGCTGGCGCTGTGCTCTCCCTGGGGTAGTTTGGACCCCCTGAGCTTGGCTCTTGGGTGCCATGGTTGGCCCGCTGGCCGGGGTGGCTGCCAGGGCCTGGCGGGCGGTCGGCTGGGGGTGCGTGCTTGGTTGTTGGCAGTGTGTGGGGGTGGTCGGTGGCGTGTCCTCTTCATGGTGGGGGGGTGTCCTGTCGGCGGGGCATGGCCTGGGCCGGATCTGGGGTATTGGCTCTTCTCCGCTCAAGAATGAATGGGTTTACCTCCTGGGTTTGGGCATGGGCTGCCCCCTGTAGAGGGCGGGTACATGTCTTGGACCTGGGGAGTATAGAGTGCGTATCGGGAATAAGAATGAAATGTATCGTTATTGTATGTCTTTGAGTGAGTGAATGTGAGATTGAGGTTGGGATTGTGTCTGTGTATGAATGGGTATTTGTTAGGCCAAGACTCGGACTGCCCCCTCTTTGATACAACTGGGGGTGCTTGGCATCGCGCCCCTATCGCACGGCCCCCTGGTGGGGTGTGCCCTTGCCTGCCGGCACGCTTGGGGCCCTTGGTGTCGGGGGCTGGGTGCTTGGGCGTGTGTCGGCTCGGCCTGGTGTCTGCCTGGTGGGGCTCGGGTCCTCTGGCCCTGTCGGGCCTTGGCCTGGGTGGTGTGAGTCCTCGGTGCCCGGGCCTCGGTGCCTGGACCTGGACCTACATCGGTGCAGCGGGTGCCGATGGAGGCCTATGAGTTTGTCGCTGTTGGCCCCGGGGGGTCACTGTATGTGGTTGCTGGTGGGGATCTTCCGGTTCTCCCCTGTGGTCCGTTCTGGGGGGTGGGTGAGTGGTTCGTCCTGTGTGGGTGGCTCTGGGGGCTCCGCGGTCGGGGTCCCTCCTGGGGTCTTGGGCTCTGGTCCCCCCTTTTTCGTCTGCCTCTGGTCTTGGGGGTCGGGTCTCTGCTGCTTCACAGTTACTATTAAATGTTCTATTAGAGAAGCCTTATACACTTATGCATGCTCACAACCACACACAAATAGAAGCAGGGATGCTTATGTAGGCTTTATATGTAGATATATAGATATGTATGTGAGTGTATATTCATGTGTATGTATGTATGTATGTATATAGGCGTAGGTATGGGTATATATATTTATGGAAACTTACTGCAAAGCCATGAATATTTTAAGTTCTTTATACATATGTATTTTGTTGCTGTGTTTTGTCATGTTCTTTGCAGGTGAACAGACAGTGGCCGGGTGTTTTGCCGTGTGCTCTCTTTGTGTATATTTCTTATATTTTGGAGTCTTACTTTGTCTTTTCTTTCTTTCTATCCTATTAAAAAAAAAAAAAACTGGTCATGACCCACATCAAAGCTAACATCAACATTAACGAGGACCCTCATCAGTACACATACCACAAGAATCGATCTACAGAAGACACTAGCTCCTCTGTGGTCCACACTACTCTCACCCACCTGAAGCAAAAGGACTCTTATGTCCGTATGCTCTTTGTGGACTTCACATCTGCCTTCAACACCATGATTCCCCAGACCCCGATAGACAAAGTAATCACACTAGGACTAATTCCCTCTTTATGCAACTGGGTCCTAGACTTCTTAACCAACAGACTATCATGACTGTATTTAGCGGCGACCACCAAAATAAGCAGACTGAGAAGGAATGACAAAGTCAGCGTACAAAAGGTAAGTGAGCTTTATTTACAGGTGCCGTGTAGTATATTTACAGGGTGTTTGGTGCGCCCCGAGGAGGAGTGGAGAGGTCCTGGGTATTGAGGTGATCCGATGAAGAGGTGAGTATCGATGGAGAGAGGAGCAGGTTGACCCAAGTTGTTTGTTTGATGGCTGCAGCTTTGATGCAACACCGTTGGTCCAAAGGAGAATCTCAGTGGAGAGATGATGTCCTTGGGAGGGCTTGGAGGAGCAGGACGTGGACGGCCCTGGAGAGATCACAGGCAGTGAGAACCGGCTGTAATGAAGAGGTTAGGTGGCTGAACATGAATTACAATAACGTAGTTGATGTTCCAGCGCTGAAGAGAGGTCTGACAGGAGTTTATATGCAGCAGGTGTAAAGAGTTGAGTTGATTGGCTGTGAAAGAGAGTGAGTGACAGAGAAAACCCAGGAATTCCACAGAGACCACAAGTCTGTGAAGATCCACGACTTCTCCTCCTCCACCATAACCCTCAGCACTGGCTCCCCCAAGGGCTGTGTGCTGAGCCCCCTCCTGTTCACTCTGCTAATATATGACTGTGCACCGACCCATCCAGGCTGTCATATTGTAAAGTTTGCAGATGATACAGCGGTGGTTGGATGCATCCAAAACAATTATGAGTCCAGCTACAGGCAGGAGGTGGAACACCAGGAGAGCTGGTTCAGGAAGAACAACCTTCACATCGATGTGAAGAAGACAAAGTTGATGGTTGTGGACCAGGAGAGCTGGTTCAGGAAGAACAACCTTCACATCGATGTGAAGAAGACAAAGTAGATGGTTGTGGACTTGAGATGAAATAACCTCCCCCCCCCCCACCCCCACCCCGGAACATAGGAGGATCTGGGTGGAAGTGGTCTCCAGCTACAAGTACTCGGGTGTGCACCTGAATGACAACCTCAGCTGGGGAACCAACACTTCCAGCCTGATCAAGAAAGCTCATCAGAGACTCTACTTCCTCAGGCGGCTGAGACGAGCTGAACTAGGAAGCTCAGTCCTCACCTCCTTCTACAGGTACGCAGTGGAGAGCATCTTGTGCTCCAGCATCAATGTGTGGCATGGAAGCTACACAGCTGCAGAAAGAAAAGCTTTGCAGAGAGTGGTGAAGACTGCACAGAAGTCTGTTGGAGTCAGCCTCCCCACCATCACAGACATCTATACCTCCAGATGCAGGAAGTGGGCCACCTGCATCATGAAGGACCCCACTCACCCAGTTCACACACTTTTTGCCCCGCTCCCCTCAGGCAGAAGGTTGAGGAGCATTAAGTGCAGAACCACTAGGCTGAGGAACAGCTTTTACCCTGAGACTGCTAGACTCATGAATCACTAGTCAGGATTATCACTGTAAATTTTACTGTGAAAAAAATCACTGTAATGCCACTTGATTGTTTATATGTGCTGCTGACTATCCATGATGCTGATCTCATGCTGCTGATTTATTTCTTGTTGCTGTGTTCATTCGTCCTCATCTGCTCACACAGACTCATGTTCGTGCTGCTGTTGTTTGGCACATTGTTTTGTACTATTAGTGCTTAGTACATTCTTAGTTTAGCATATTTATCGGTATAGTTTAGCGTTCATATCTTAGATCTTACTACTGTTTTTCTTTACAATTTGTTTTTTTTGTTGGATGTAACTGGGATCCTGTGTACATAGTTTCATTCCACCTCATGTACCACATGTGATGTGAATGATAATAAAAACACCTTCACCTTGACCTTGATTTTGTCTGTGATGTGTCAGGTGTGGCAAAGCCAGGCTCCCATGTGAGTCCAGGTGAGAAGTTCACCTACATTTGGAACGTCCTGGAAGGCCCGTCTCCATCCGACCCCCCCTGCATCCCCTACATCTACTACTCTGCTGTCGATCCCGTCATGGACACCAACTCAGGACTGATTGGACCTCTGCTCGTGTGTAAAAAAGGAGAGCTGAAGAAGGATAAAAAGCTGGTTTGCTATACACACTTTTCTCACAGAAAATTCAGACATTCAAGATGTTGATGATGCTGTTTCTTGCAATAATGCTTGAACTCTTGACTTGTTTCAGAGCTGCTGCTAAAACAAGCACCTTCATGTGTAACGTCTACACCTCCTCACTGCTTTGTGTGTGTGCTGTTTAACAGAAGGGTGTTTTAAGAGAGTTCTTCCTATTTTTCTTCATCGTAAATGAAAACAAGAGCTGGTATTTGAGGGAGAACATTGAGAAGTTTGGCAGCAGCAAGACAAATGAAAAAGATGAGGCCTTCCAGGAAAGCAATATGATGCATGGTAATCAGTCTGATCACCTCTGTAGAGCTCTGAGTCAGCTGCAGCTTCATATTTAGACTCCCAGAGTGTATCTCCTTCATTAGACCTCTTTTTCTTTCAGCTGTTAACGGTCTTATGTACGGGAACCTTTTTGGACTGGACATGTGTGCTGGGGACAACGTTGTGTGGTACACCTTTGGGATGGGCTCAGAAGCAGACATACATGGCATTTATTTTGAGGGAAACACTTTCAATAAGTACGACACAACTCGAGACACAGTCAGCGTGTTTGCTCATACTTCCCAAACTTTGTCCATGCAGCCAACAATTCCAGGTCAGTAAGACTTTATTCACTGTTTATCTGCAGACATCTGCAAACACAATCCTACCACAACATGACTTCCTATGAAAAACAGGGAAAGTAGAAGTTATTTTACTGAAATACTGTGTTTAATTACAAAACTGAAAACATTTGGCATTATTAGTTGTTTGTTTATTTATTTGCTTATTTTCAATGTTTTATTGTTGAGAGTCAAATGGTGAACTGTTAAGTTTGTTATATTTATTAACTTTTAATGCTCTTTAATGAACAAGCTGGGAGTATACACTCAAATATAAGATAAGATAAGATAAGATAGAACTTTATCGATCCTGCAGGAAATTGTTGTGCCAAAGTTTCAGTACAAAGGATTATACACAAGTAATTACACAAGATATAAAAAAAAGACAGACAATTAAACAAAATAAAAATAACAGAATGTAAAAAATACCAACAGTTAAGGTCTAAAACAGGTCAGGTGCAGACAGAAACATTAAAGTGTTTATTGTAGTGCAGTGTTACTTTTATTGTCCTCTGTGTAGAAAGGGGGAGGAGTTGAAAAGTTGCTGCCATCTCTCACTTTGACTGTGGGACCTTCAGTCCATACTCAGCACAGATGTTTCTGTGTATTATTCCAGCCACTTGGTTATGGTGTTCCATGTACGCTTTGCCTGCCTGGATCTTACATCGTGTTATTATGTGTTGGACTGTCTTAGGGGCAGCTTTTCACAGCCTGCATTTGCACCCTATTGTTCTTGTGCTGATGGCCTGTTCTTGTGCTACCATGATCAGTGCATCTGTGCTGTCCTCTAGTCCAACCTTCTAAAAGCCACTGGTAAAATTTGTTGATATCAGCCACTTCCTCAATCTGCCAGTGGTACGTGTAATGCTTATCTTTCCATGACGGCTCCTCTTGTTCTGCCTCTTCTACATTGGGTTTCTGCTGCTGCTTGAGACATTCAGTCATCAGTTCATCATTGGGGGGGTTTCCTCCTGATTTACTCCGGGATCTTAGTTGTTTCATCTTGTATAGTAGCTCAGACGCACACTAGTTTTCTGCCTCTGACTGACTAACAAAGAGACAGACCAAAATTGCATACAGTATCTACAATATGTGCTATTGTGCTAGGTCAAGACACAGGACTTAATGCACATCACCGGCCACTTTCTCCCTGGCCAGGCAGCACGGGAAATAACTCCTGATATGATAGATCCACACGTGGCATGCATCCACACCTATGTCTTTACAGGCCAGTTCCAGGGCCTGCAAGAGATTTTCCCTGGTGCAGGGTTGCCAGTTATAAACTTTCTAACACCATGAAGAAGAAAAACTCCTCTTTTTGTCAGGGATCTGATGGCAGAGGATCCCACACACAAACTCAGAATGGTTTTAAAATGTTTATTGAATGAATAAACAGCTTCTGATGATTCAGGTCCAGAGCTGGAACTGTGTCTAAAACGATACAGAGGAGAGGTTGGTGTTTTGACAGAATAACAACAGTTATCTGAATACAGACGGTCTGGAAAAACACTAACCTTTCTTGTTGTCGGGGGCTGAGCAGCCCCCGACAACAAGGATCTAAGGATCCAAGATACAAAGAGCTGTGAGACTATGGAAACGCTGGATAACTGTGA